ATGACTTGTTTCTATCTCATCTGTACTATGATAAGCTCATTAACACTTTTTATTCTTTACAGATAAATGAGCACTATAAAAAGTATTACCACAAAAAGTCAGCACGGATACAACTTGTCAAGGTAATAATATAATGTAATAAACTGCGGAAAAGGAGGCCCGACCAGATACGGACTGTTGTTATTCGCTCGACGTCACATCGAATTCTTTACACTCAAACTTTTTAGGTTGAGATTTCCAGAATACTTTTCGACAAATAAGGCATCAATTTATGTTAATGTGAATAACTGGTGGTATCTATGAATAAATACAGGCTTGCGCGAGACAATGACCAAAATTAACCCTTGCTTCGTCTAGAGGACCGATAGAATTGTAGAAACATAATGTCAAACTTCAAATCGTCATACGATTGGCTACATTATAGTCTAACCGGTTATGTGAAAACATCAGATGCAAACATCAAAATACAACATGCGTCAAAATACATTCCAATCATACTGATTTTAGTGCACGCATCGTATAATTTAAATCTACACGTGTGACAAAAGGCGACTGCCGTAAACTGTTTAATTGCTTTCAACAATGTTAAGCAAATATGTACGTAATGATTTTATGGTTCTTAGCAAGATTACACTTGATAATTGTAATCGTGTATGCGTTATGAAAACCGCACAAACCACTTCCACGATATCATTCAAGACATTGCCAAAAACAGTCCAACAAATTGTTTGCACTTGATTAACACAATAAGATGTCTCAAGGATTTAAATACACGTCTTCTGAATCATACAATTTCGGCGCTCGTATTAAAGCTGAGGACGCGATAGAGTTGTACAACAATATGATTTACTGCGAACTGTACTTTCGTTATACCCAAAAACACTTCACCGATAACAGACTAAAATTATACAGTCGTTCTCTCACAATTTCACTGTGCTACTATCGTCCAAACATATTACAAAAATCTCTACCAGCAATGAAACCACATTTCATTGATTCCACCAAATCTGAATCATTTACAATTTCAACGAGAAGTAGTCCTTGAGGGATAACAACCACGTCGAAGCAATTGAAAAACTATCACCAAGCGATAATTGCAATACATCCAGATCCAGGCAAACAACTCTCGAGATTTTGGTTAATTTGCGGAAAATAATTATTATTGGGGAAACATTTGTCAGTGAATATAATTTCAAATTTAATACATTTGCGTTTTTATTGCCTTTAGCCTCTTCTTTTTTTCTTTTCTTTTTTCTCAATAATCAATATCTTTACCATAATATACTGTATTTACGAGTTGAGTTCTTAACTAATATGTACGTAGCTCTAATTATATGCTTCTTTACTATTTGCGTTGTTGTTCGGAAACTAACAAACATTTTGCTTGCCAATGTGACTTTTTTCTAATTATATACTAATACTAGTCCCACTAATTAATCGTTGTACTCCATATTAAATATTCTTAGCCACAAACTGACTAAAAATCTCTAATTCTATGAAAAGGCTAAAGTGAATAGACATGCCCCAATTCTATCTTAAAAGCTGTTCATGTTTACATTGCGCAGCAGGTTTTTTGTTACTCTAGTTACTAACACAACTGAACTGTTTAAATGGACAACCAGCAACCGGCAAATATTGTGTAGCAACACATCCTTCACTAACAATTCGATTCAAACGCTGCAAATATTGTATAATTAAAGTAGTATTTAAAGATTTTATTCTCCATCTACTCACTATATGCAAGAGAGAGAGACGGCTTTTGTTTGCTCGCTGATGCATGTTACACGGTGATGATTTACAATGCTTATGTGAACATTATCGCTCAATACAAAGTCTCTACGGCCGTGAACACTTTGAAACCATAACAAAATGAATATCGCTGTTGATTTATCTTCCATCCTTTCATCGGATTATGAGAAACTATACGAAAGTGGCAGATATACTGATATTTCAATCCATGTGGGAAAGGAGCCAAATAACAAAATCTTTCTCGCTCATACGTTGGTTTATGTACGCGAAGCACACTGCTTGAGAATAACTTGACTGAAGTTATGGAGACGACCGAAGCGGTTCAAAAAGCAGCAATAACATTTGAAGATGTGGCTCCTGACGTTTTCGAATTATTGCTCAGGTAATAGTAAGATTTATGAATAGTCAAAGATATAATGATATGTATTGGGTATAATAATAATATGCTTATACCAATTTCACGGTTCATCGCGGGTATATTTACATTGGACGAATATCTTACGATTCAGGAGCAAGACTCCTTGATCTTCTCACTGGCGTTGAAAATTATTTGATTGATAAACAAAAAGAATGGATCCCACAAAACATCATTACAGTTCACAAGTATGCTGCATCCATGGCCTCTTTAAACAAACTTTTGGATCATTGCAATCAAATTATGGTTTCTCATCCTGATATTATCTTTAAATCAAATGACATGCCAAAGGAGAGTTTGATCACTCTGCTCAAGAATGATGAGTTAGACATAGATGAAGATGATATTTTCATATCAGTCATTCAATGGGCAACTAAACAAGTGCCAGAACTAGAACTGAATGACATTGATAATTGGCCATCTAATACTAAGGATCTCAACACAGTCAAAGAGAACATAGCAGATTTTATTCCTCATATAAGAGTTTTCAGCATTTCTTCTAGAAATATTATGCTGTATGAGGATTTATTACCCAAAAAACTACGTCATGATGTTCTGAGATATAATTTGGAAAAGGATTATACACCAACCACTCACATGTTACCACCAAGAACTGGACAAGTACCTAGTGTTGATTCTGTTATTATCAATAAAAAGCAAGCAAAATGGATCTCATCAAAAATTGTGGAATCAACAAGGGTATCCAAAGAAAATCAAAGGACATCTGTGAAGCATGATGCTTATAAATTTACTCTACTTTATAGACGAAGTAGAGATGGTAATACACATGCAAAATTTAGCGAATTGTGTAATAACAAAGGACCCACAATTGTTGTTGGGAAAGTGTTGGGCACTGAAGAAATACTTGGTGGATATAATCCATCTGCATGGGGTACTCATGATTGTTGGTTTTAAGCTGAAGATTGCTTTATATTTGCTTTAGATAAATGTGGAGATAAGAATATAGTAAGTCTTTTTGTTGCTAAAGATAAATATTCCATTTATGATTATCCTAGTATATCTTTTCCTATTTTTGGGTTGCATGATATCCATGGTGGTAACTACGATTTAGCATTTGGTATATGGTAATGAAGATAATAGATTCAGACCCCATGCTAGAAAGGGTACATATGAAGTTCCAGTTAGGGATTCATCAGACGACTTTGAATGGGCTGATTGGGAGGTGTTTCTAGTTGATTATGAATAATGGAAGACTATAAGAGCAGATGTGATGCAATGAATAGAATATTCTACATTAACAAATGTACAAGAGATGATAACATTATAATTATGTGCTATGAATAGCAGAACGGCTAGAACATCAAACCCACAATGGTTGGCAGATAGAATGTTCAGCCCGTATTGTAACCAGATAATTGTGTTATATCGTATAACAAATGTGTTACTCAAATAGCTAACTCAGGAATACCCAACGATATTAACTACTGATGATGTGATGTTTGAATAATTAGAATTACTCAATAGCCATCTACTCCCGAAATATTGTTGGTTTCTATCATAAAACACATACAGTATTGACATATTCATATTCATACACCGTGTTGAATATGTGCAATATAAAGACTTTTATAGGCTCAAAGAAATTAAGTTGGTAGTCTATACTGTCAAAGAACGCTGAAATTATTTATTTCTTGGTAAGCAATCTTTGATATTATTCATTAACGTAAAACCAAAACAAATAAGTACATAATTGTTATGCAATATGCTAATATTAGTATGATAACCTGCTGTCTTACTTGATCAAATATAAACAAGTGACATGGAGAATAAAATTACAGCTTTTGTATAATATTGTATTTGAAGATTTAAACTTTCCTCTATTACTATTTAATACGGTATATTATAACTGTTCTCTGGAGTAAGACAATAAAAAGTTTGTAGTAAAATTTGTTTCAAGAGCTGCATATTGATTGAATAAACTTGATGAGTATTGCTTGCGAAATAAAACTAAAGTCATACGTTTTTACGTGACTGTATAGTCATTTGTGTCTGATTTCGATTTTAACAATAAATATAAATATGTACATGGAGTGAACGCTTGTTAAAGGCATGTAGAAATGGATGTTAATTAAGCGTATTGTTTGTCGATAAGTAGCCTTCGGTATGCTAGTTTATAGTGACCCTTCAAATTTTGCGTGCTACGTTTTGAGTTCTTGCTCACAGTCAATATTACGATGATAAACTGTTGATATAGTTAACCCAGATGAGAAGACATGAATGTTAAATTTAAGCTCTGTGTGCATGCATAACTCGTAGACGTTGTCATACGTCTGCCTCTTTCGACTATTCGCACATGTCTCGATAATTATGCAAATATACCCTAACCTCATGTCTATACTATACGCTAGGCTTGTTGTCGTATACTAGACTATGAATACTAAAGACGAATGGACAAAAATAGTTCTAATCTGGCATGCTGATTATTGAAATGGATATATAGCTCTATCTTTGTTTTACTTTGTCGGTTGATTAGCAGTAATAAGAAACCAGCGTTTCTATCCAACTGTTCTTTAAACAATTAATTCTGTTGATAAGTCAATAATTTATTTAATAATTTGTAAGAATATCGTTTGCTACACCTTATTTCTTTCAAGTAAAAATAGCCAGCATCGACAAAATTATTCTAATACTGACAGAAGATATCTATCTTTAGACTAACAAGTATTCAAGTTATTGATAAGTAGCTTTACTATTTTCACCGAGAATAAAAAGCAGCAGCAATAAAACAAACAATAATATAAAATAAATTGCTAGATAATAATAATGATAAACAAGTAATAAATTCAAAACGCTGAATTGTAATCTATTGAGGTAATTATTGACGGGTAGGACAGTCATTAACACGCGTTACACGTGCAATTCCCAAAATTCTTTCGTTACGAGGAACAGATCCCCTATTTGCCGCAGATTCTTCCACGACAAAGCAACATTGGTCTCTGATTCTGCTGATTGGTAAGTTTAGCGATGTGAGGATTGGCTTGTCGAAAGACGCAAAATCCAAGTTGATGGTGGCAGGGTCTCCAGGCGTATTGGTAGTGGCCGTGTCACAATTGGCCACATGGATATCATAAAGCGCTTCAACAGCTCCGTTTACTACACCGGCGATATTTACATTACCGGCGATTTCCAAAGTGTCCCTGGGCGACTGCGTAAATTCAAGAAATCCATTAAAAGTGTTGCCAGAAAATCCGGGCCGGTTCAAGACAGTATCGCCTTGATTAAATACGCATCTAGAAACAGGACAACATGGTCTAGGTCTTCGCTGCCATCTCTTTTTGAGAGGTGTAGCATTGGCTGGTGTAAAGTCGGTGAAGATCAGAGCGGCCAAGAGGAAAAAAATATAGACAGATTTCATTTCGAATTGACGTTGTTTTTGTAGGGTTTCTATTTGACTGTTTGCTGTAGGAAGTGCTGAACTGAGGGGAAAAGCCTCGAATTGCGCTTAATTTTATAGCTTGCGAACAATTAAGCTTGTTGTATTCCTCATCAAGGAAGGCGTTTTTCGAAATTTGTTTAGCTCTCTCTAAAAATAACAAATTCTTTGTCATAAAACACAATTCTAATGTAACGAATTGATAAAGAAAGTGGGCGTTTTCAAACGTTTATTGTTCAGAGATATATCAATTGTGTATAATGAAAATTGTTGTTAATGATGTCATTCATCAAATTTGACCTTTCACAAAGAATTACGATTACAATTTTTTTGACATCGTGGGTTAAACCTCAGAGCACGTACATACCTGTACTTGAAGCCTCTGATAAGTGTGATGTAATGCTCATGACATGATTTCTTTTTACATTCACAATCGTGGGATAGTAATGTCAATAATCGATATGGGTGGATTAACCGAAATAGGGTCAACAATTAATTTAGACTATTGTTGTGATACATTTGGGAAAACGTTGAGCAATGTGTGATCTCTTTATGCATGGACAACAAGCTTTTCGTGGGAAAGTGACCATTGAAAAAAGCCACATTGATATATGACAGAAAACAGTAGGCCATTCAACCAGTTATCCAATTGTATTATGATATACGATACTTGGAAAAACAAAACTTTCGTATAATATTGTTATAGCAACTGCAATAAATTTATCGAAATGGACTATTAAAGAAAAGCGCTTGACGATCGATAATAGCCTGTATTTCGTCATGACTAGCACCGCTCCGTTGATGAAAATTATAATAATATGGTTGTAATAGAGCATTGACAACACATCAATCATGTAACTCAACATGGATTTTGTTGGCTACAGGCTTGAAACTATGTTTGGACAGTTATGATATCTGTGAGCAACAATATTAGGTATCGGTCTTTTACGTTCTTTTCTTTATGTTTGTGTAGTCATCTGAATAGTATTCATGCAATGTTTCGCAAATGAATAAAATCCTGACACAACGCCCAATTACAGATTGCATAATACTAAACGGCAAATACATACAAGACATCAGGAACATGCGATACGGAGACCTGCATGTCTAAACGGGGGGCTAGTTGATAAAACCGGTTCTATGGGAAAGTGACGTATGAAATAATTATAATTATGCAACTATATTTGTAAATAGTACCAGCAGACATATTGCATTACGCTTATCCATATTGGAACTGACGTGCTGCACCTTGCAGATAAACATTGCGACTGTTCCCATGATCTAATGATTTTCCCTCATTGTTTGCCGTAAGGATCTACACAAACGATCGTCAAGCAAGCCTTTTAGTCTGAAGCTTGTCTCTTAGATACAAGCTGCAACATCTAATCTGCAAAATTAGTAAGAGAGAAAGACAAGAATGATAGTTCAAATTGTTAATACAAATTGACAAAGCAAGTTAAGCAAATACTTTATTGTTTTAGAACTAGGGGCAATGTGTTGAAAGACTCGTATTACAATTAACCTGTCATAGCTCTCTTTAAATAGTCTCGTTACATCGACAAAAGCAATAATCAATGCGATTGTTGACGGCGTAAAACCCTTTTTCATTATTAACACGTTAGCAAACAATTTTTTATCGTGTGTTTCTTCGGGATACACAATCGTTATCCGTAATGGTTTATTGTCATCCCATTTTTTACGTATTGTCGATTAAAATATTGCGCTCGTACTACAATTGAACAGTCGTTGCGAAGCAATACGCTATTAACATATTGAGATTTGTAAATTGCGTTAAAGTATTATGCATGTGACACATTGATAAAGTGTCATACGTTATTCTGTTAAAGATAAATGCCTTCTATTGTTCTAGCGCAACATTTTGAAAAAAGAGCAATTTGAAAATGTTATCTGATAGCTAGATATAATAATAATTATAGTTTCTGGTAGTTGTCAACGATATTCTATATTTACAGTTTGTTCCTTTAATAGTTACCGTTAGTTTCGAGTGTGTTAGTAGCAATAAATTAATAACGAAACCATTCTACACCCATCAACATTATTCGATGTTGCAATATTATAGTTAGTAAAGTAATTTTGCAATCTTGAACGATACCAAAAACAAGCACGCAAATCCAAAATGACGGAAACAAATAAAGTATAAGCACGCACGCTATTTGGTTTGCCAATTTAAACAGTATTAAGGAAAACAGGGCCAGGTCAGATGACTTTTTGTTCTGGTAAGCTTTAATATAAGCTACGCATTTTTGTTGACGTCGAGGGTAAGTTACATTTGTGACAAAATAAGTTCCAATGTCGTTCTAGATAACGAGTTTGAGCTTAAGATAACCGATCACAGTCTTTCATTTACAATATTTTACACAATACAGTATTATTGACGCAAAGTGGGAGGGTAGGTATAAGTTATTAAATAGTTTTTGCTAAATAGAAAATAACATTGGACTTATTTTCACCCGGAAAACGGAATTTTATTTTGTCATCGGGTATTTGTTGCACACACGAGAAAATCATTTGATTATTTGCACGTGAAATGAAATCCATAAAAGTCAATTCCTCATCGTTCGTCTTTTTCTCTTATTTATTACAGGTTTATATGGATAAATAAAAACAGTATACTTGGCAGGCACCGAAGACATCGCCTTTGCGTTATAGTGAATCAATGCTACGTGTAAACGGCAACTGTTTCCATCCGAGTGAAGGGATGAACCAATTTTCAGCAAGTCTTTTCAAGACCACATTCATGTGAAAATCATATTCATTAGAAACACACAAATTATTTTAATGCTAATCATGACGACTACCGGAAAAGTCTACAGTTTGTCTCAACTACCATAATATTTATATTTGTTACGCCAGGTACTGGTACTCCCTCCAAATAAGCACTTTCATACGATATTTCAATGTTCGAAATACAAAATTGTTGCAACAAAAGTGGTTTACGATAATAAGATAAATTTGATTATAAATATGCATGAAATATTAGCAAGGTCTAGAAGTTGACGACTATCTATTTACTATTTAAACCCCTCAAATTCCGAAATGGAGTGCAAACGCTACTGCGCTGGACAAACATTTACAAAATTCCTTTTCCGTTACCTCGTACTTTTCTCACTCATCCCACTTGCAATAGCGACTATTGTCGATAACTCTTATACATCCTATGAAGATTTATACGGCGCAATCCTTAAAACGCTTTTCCCAATTACTTTTGTCCTGTTGCTGAAGGTTTCGGGAAAGTCTGGGTTGATAAAATGTACGCTGTTGCCACTGCTAGACAATGTATTGTACAATACAGTTGCTTGGGGCATTTCATTAATTGTGTCATTTGCCTATAACGATTCGATGATTCTAAAAATATTTTCAATTGTAAACATGTGTTTACATATAACTTGTGCACTAGTTGCATTCATCAAATAGAAGCGAATTTCTGATGTTAATATATATAAATTTAACGACATGTATAGTGCCATATACATTTTTTTGATGGTCTTTCCCTTTTTGTAATTTTACAATTTTGGATTCGCTACCTTTTTGAAATTGTGACATTTCTCGTATTCGATGGCCTCATACTCTTAATTTTTATTGTCGTTGTAGCTAATAGGCTTATTAAGATACCCGATACTATAAAGATAATTACTTTCATAATTTGTTTTTATGCTCCAAACATTTTGCAACTTTATTGATTTTGTTAAAATGGCCGATCAACTTTTATTTTGTAAAAACATGCGTTTTTATATTAGTACTATCTTTAACTAGAAATATATCTTACTTTACTGACGAGATACCAAAAAAATTTTTGGCAACTTCAACAGTAACTGTTCAGCATGCAATTCGTAAATTGATAGATGACATGAGGCAAGCAGAAAAATGTAATGACATAAAAAGTACGGTATTAATTAAAGTTGAACGTATTTTCTTATATACATTTAATTTAAATTACTACACTTAGAAATTAAATTAGAAAAGTGCCATCTTTGGCTCTGTATTATTTGGTTATAGTACTGTTTTAGCCATATAATGCTTTTACATAACGTAATTTGCCGTAAAAGTTTCTCACAATCGACAAGCATGAATAAAATAATTGTAAACGATAACTGAAACAGGTATTAACGGTCAACTAATGCAGGGTCGAAAAGTTGACGGTTATGATTGCAGGTTTTCAAAAGCAGTGATGTCGTCAAATTTTAGTACGTGAAACGAGATTACAGTAATCATAATTGGCGTAACATTTTGAGTAAATTTTTACATTCGTGTGCTTAATATAGGACAATACTTTTAGTGTGGAGTAACCTCGGTAAGTCGAAAACTGGATAAATTGGACATAACTTCTCTGCCCCCATTTTTTGCGTTAAAGTTCTCTACGTAAAATTTACTGATAAGTCGGAGGGTCATGCCCAACTCGTCATGTTCGATTTTGAGTTTTCTTATGTACACGTAATTTCTTTACGTATTATCCTGGTGTTTTTTTTTACTGTCAACTCAGTTTATATTTCGGAAATAATAGGTACAATTTTGTGGTTGCGATAAGAAACAATATGCTAAACAAAAGCGTAACAAACAGAGAAATAAAATTTATTGTCGTGCCTGTAAATATTGTAAGCAGCACATTTAAGCATACCGTATACTACCGTGAATAAGTACCCACCCCTATCATAGTGAGGCGTATTATTAAAATAATAGGCAAATCATTACGTAAAGTATAATCCACAACAGCGTTGAGCGGTAGCTTAACAGTAATTGCAGTAACTAGACGCGCACTATTATTTTGTATACTTACGTAATAAACTGTGAGTGGGGGGGTCATGCAGTAATCTTGGGGGTGCTTATTCACGGTAGTATACGGTAATGTAAAAGTTCTTATTTTTTTCTTGACTCAAATAGCAGCTTCCAAAAGCTATTTGTTTATTATTAAACGTGGGGGTTTACAGATAGTAAATACAATGTTAATGGATAACGTGATAGTAAAAGCAGACATTTGTGTATACGAACTCGACCAAATTATTTTATCGACAAAAACTTTAACAAATCTGCCGAACTCTTAATGCTTTGTGCGATAAAGATAAAAAAAAAGACGTTACAGTGACATTCCCCTAAGTGCAGCACCTCGGGGACTGAGTGCTGCATTGCATTTATGGAGTGTTGCATTTATCGAGGGGTTTTCCTATTAGGAAAGACATTTTAATGATTAAAAATTTTCCTTTATTATACAATCAAGCTAACTTTAGCATAAAAAGTCTAAAAAACTATTAAAGGTTTTTAAATAAATGCCGGTCCCTCTTGCTGAATTAGAAATGTTTTTACATTCTCTAAACTTTTAGTGCCTTATGAGCACTCACTATTGTCAGTTTGTACTATACTACATTGTGTTGATTACTTTCCGCAACCAATAATATTACGAAAATTACGTAACAAGTTGTACTTAAAGAAATAAATTTATTAAGCGGGACTGCATTTAGAGGGAGATTGCATTTATGGGGGTTGCATTTATGGAGGTATCAATGTATATAAACAATTAACTAATAAATGTACAGACTATTTAGAAAATTAAACCTTTTTTGACTTTCTTCAAGTATTCTTCTTTACCTTTAACTGAGCTCTTGTATTCGTATGTGAATATTCGACCAGCACGCACGTACGTGAGTAGTACGTTTATCTTTGGCACTCTCATGCACAATGATAAATTAATTAGGTATGTAACCGAAACGTTTTTTGCAACAAATGGATATGCAGCAATTCATTCTTTCTGCCGCCGTTTTTTTGTGAATCTATATGATTATGTGTAAACAGAAATTTGACCCCATAAATTTCAGTGCAGTAAAGGACTCGGAGCCAAATATGCAGACTCTACTTATCAAAAAAAATTGTTAGACGAGTAACTCATAATATAGTAAACGTCACAGTCGAATTACTACTCTTTGGCCAATAATTGTGTAAAAGCAATAGACTCTATCATTAACGACTTTTATTAGTGTTGTAAGTCATTTGAAATTTGGAACGTCGAAACATTGGTTGTCTAAGTTGTTCTATTATCATAAGCCACCAGTTGTTGTGTGGACACTAGTGGCTTGCACGTTTTAGGCCACGTATTGCAACCATGTTATTGTTAACTGAATGCACACTGTGGCTGAGTTAATTGTACGAGATAAGCTATAGCACGTAAACCATTCATTCTGTGCAAATTGCATCTCAATTGTCAGTTGCCGATACAGTAATATTAGTGAACCCCAATATAAAAGCCTCCTATTGAATATATTTTGTGATACAAATATTTGTAGTTGGTCGATTACTTCGCCTCGCTCTCCGCCACCTCCTCTAATGAACTTATTTAGTATATTAATCTTTCTAATCAAAATTTCGGTCGCTGCTATATGCAAACATGTTTTGCTATTTATTATGCCGCAAATTTTAATATTAGTGAGATATTACAGACATTTTTCAATCGAACAATTCGAATAGCTGTAGTAGTCTAATCGATGAACGCATTTGCATAATCGGGCTTCCTTCTTCACCCTCTTTTTATTTATCTTGCTGACATTCTTTTTAAATCGGGCTATTGCTTTCGCAGCGGCTTTTTTGGTCTCGTTTCTGCATGGCTCTTTATTAATTTATGCAAGTACCGATCAAAGTTTAATATATACGCATAGCCACAGAATGTAATAGTCTGTTATGTTTATACATACTATAACGTGGGGCAAAAGTAGTCAATACGTTACGTACATTATTAATTTTGTGGCGCCGGTCAACTTAACCAAGATTAGATGTATTTGTAAACTAGCCGTTCAGTGGCTCAATGTGCTTGTAACAAAGCTGCTGTCATTTGTAACTTATGCTGCTGCCCAATAATTATGCTTTTAGTTCATGTCTGAAAATGTATCGCCACTTTGAAATTGATATACTGTATATAGCAGTGCAGTGTTAATCAGATACATTGTTTCCTGTATCATCAGTTCGTATGCAGTAGGGCAAATATAATGAAGCCGATAAAATAATTTTATTATGTTGTTACGGGTCTTTATAATCTATATGTCTATTTAAAGTGGACATTAATTTCAAACCGATATACAACATTAACGTAATTTTTGCTGATAAGAAAACTTTTGAACTTGAAATCATAACTGTAACAGTAGCTTGCAGTCATTTGTAATTGTCTTATGACTTCTGTGGCTTGGCAGCCGTGATTAAGTCTCCGTTAAGTCAGAAGGTAATTGCCACTCATTTATCATTGAATTGTCTTAGTACAAATCTTTTGTTGTAAGCAGAATGTTTCCAATCTCATAGCCAGGTGGTGTCCCGGATTTTTAAAAAACGAATAAATTACGACATATTGAGGCAAATTTTTGACAGTTATCAGACAATAACAATTACAAAAGTTAATGTATTTTATAAAAAAAGTTATTATATTTTATTTATACCATGCTTCTCGTTTCATCTACATTATTCTACATTTTTTTTTGTAATTGACAAATTAAGTGTTGAGCGTATGCTGTTGAAGTTACCAAAAACTCGTCTGGTATTCTATTAGTAAAGTAAGATGCATTTCTAGTTAAAGACAGTAACAATACAAAAACGAACGCATGCTTTTACAAAATAAAAATTGATTGGCCAATTTAACAAAATTAATAATGTTTGTAAAATGTTTGGAGTATAAAAGTTGATTATAACAAAAGTAAAATGCGTGGTCTTGAATGGTGTCTTTTGACCACATGCAACGCTACAGATGGACATAAGAAACTGTTGTGCAAAAAACAACAAACTTCCAAACAAAACAATACGGCCATATTTTTGGCCTCTAAGTAAGAAATCCAGAATGCGAAAATTCCGAAAACATGGAAAATATAAGGAAGGGGTCCGTATCATTTCACCGAAAATTATTTCACCGACGTAATATTTCACCGACAATCATTTCGTCGACAATCATTTCACCGACAATCATTTCACCGACATATTCACCAACATTATTTCGAAATTATCCTTTTTTGGTAGTGTTGTCGGCGAAATGATTGTCGGCGAAATGATTGTCGGTGAAATGATTGTCGGTGAAATCTTACGTCGGTGAAATGATTTTCGGCGTTATGATCGTCTCCCCTTTCAAGAGATTCTGGGAAGATTACTGGTGTCATACTACATTTCTAAAATTTGTAGAATGTGGCATACGTGTAGAGACTTTTAATCTTCAGAACATTTTATACAGATTGGCTAAAGGCAGGGGAGAAAAAATTTTACAGGGGGGCCCTTATTCATGGCAGTTTACGGTAATAATAATGCTGATCAGTGGCTTAATCAATGACGTATTACTAGGAACTTTCTAGACCTTTTAATGTGACCAATGATAATCGATGCGCAAAAATTCGCGTTTGTCTAATAATCGACCGCAGTGTATGTGAACAAACGAATATTAGATTGTGTGTAATATTAAAACTACGTTACGGTTACAGATTTGAAACAGTTGATTTATCGATAAAGCAGTCTGATATTTGATGCAAATGAATAAAGGCTGGTAAGAATAGAAGTCGGACGAATACGTCCCTCATGGTTGACAAAGAACCCATGTCCTAGATGACACTTTATTAATAAAAATCCAATAATAACAAGAAAGCGGCTATTTGTTTATGTTTCTGGCTTTCGTTTCTTTCTGGGTTTATCATAAGTTGGCGTTAACGTCGTTTAGTGTGCTTTGTATTTTTGATAAATTTCACAAGTTATTTTTCTTTGTCTGGAGAGTTTGGGTATTATTGATTTTAAAACATAGGGAGCAACTTTTTCTCCTTGAGCTTTTTTGAGAATGCTTCTGATAGTGCTGTAATTCTTGGTGGATTTGATGTAAATTAATTATTTTTATATGGAAGTAGTCCTACATTAATCTTATTGTAATTTATATTCATCACATTTGGTATGATAAAGGGAACATTAAAGTTAACAGGTCCATAAGTTATGGATGAGCACCATTATTACTTTTATCAGTCATACTGGTCAATTTTACAGCCACATCATAATCAGCCTCTCATTTATAAAAGGTTCACTTTTAACTTTGTCTGGTTTTGTTGCAGCATACCCCAAATAATAACAAATACGCTTGAATCAACTTTAAAAAAACGTTATATCAAAGATAAAAAAACATTTATGTCAAAAAAACAATGAACAGCACTTACACTTGCCCCAAAAAAGGAGCTGTGTTAGAATAAGAAAAAAGATATTTGAAAAATATTGAGATATGAATGAGTATGGCATTGGGGAATCTACTGTCAGTGAAATTTTGAAAGCAAAAGACAGATGGTTAGCATTTGAGGATGATTCACCTCAGAAAAATTTAAAACGAGAACACAAGAGTTATTTTCTTCAAATTGAAGAAGCTGTATCTTTATTATGGGCAGAGCGGGCAATTCAAGATGGTATCACATTTACTGGTGATATTTTACAAAACAAAGTGAAGAAATTAGCTGAGTTAATATATAATATTAATGGAAATTAGGAATTTTTAGCTTCAGTATTCAGAGGTGAATTAGATGGTGTAGACAAACCACAGCATCCACAGCAATGCATCGAACTTCAACAAATTTTTCCATAGTAGTATATACAAACTGTGATAAAACAGCTCTTTTTTGGAAAGCTGAACCAAATCATACTCCAGCTCATGCACTGATCTCTGGAACAAAACGACTTAAAGATTATGTTTACATGTAATGCAACTGGAGACCACAAGCCACATAATTATTTATTCACTGAAGTCAAACACCTCAATGTCTAAGGGATTCTAAAGTCACGCCTTCCAGTTTGGTATTACAGTAGTGGCGGGAATTTTATGTAATTGCTTTATTTAATATTTACACGTTCCCTGGTCTATTTATTATGGAAAAAATGGGAGGCGTTCATTCCCCCGACAATCACTTCCCCGACATAGACAGTTTATTTCCCTGACAGTTCACTTCCCCGACAATTATTTCCGACAATTCCTGCTGAATTATGTTAGTGCCAAAATATTTATTGGGAATAATTGTCAGGGAAGTGAACTGTCGGGGAATGAAGTGCTTGTCGGGGAAGTGAGGTGTCGGGGAAGTGATTGTCACTAGACCCGAAAAAATATATATGGAAAGTTACACCAGATAACAAATTTATAAATAAAAATAATATTTGAACTAACAACGCGTTCTTTGTTGTTAGAAATGCCTAAGCAACTTACTTTGACCCAAAGGCAATCAGTCGTAGAAATTTGCGGAAAAGTGGAAATTGTGATGTATCTCAGCTCCATAAGATAACACACATTCCTATATCTACTTTATACAAATATATCAAAAAACTTTCAATAACAGCTTCCCTAAAACCCAAATCTCGCCCAGGAAGGCCAAAAAACTTGCTGCGAAAAAGCGCATACATCTTGAAAAACTAGCGAGTTCAAGAAAATGTGCTAGCAGTAAAGAAATTGCTCATGTGATTAATCAAACCTTAATATTGCACCACGAACAGTCCGTGAGAGCCTCTATAACTTCGGCTATTGCGTTTGTGTGCCAGTTTCAGTACCAATGTTAACAGCCAATACAAAGGATTATTGCGTCAAATGGGCAAAGTCTCATCTTAATAAAATTGAAAAAAGTCGTCTTTTCTGATGAGGCAACTTTCCGATTATTTCGCAATACTACTTTAGTAAGATATAAAGTGGGACAAGAAAAGCCGCGGCGTGCAATTGTCAAACATCCACTCAAGGTTCATGCTTGCGGCTTTTTGTTCACAGGAAGTTGTCGGATTTCATTGTTTTACTGAAAACATGAATGGGGAGCTTTACCGGAAAATTTTAATGGAAATCTTTTTTTCTCTAATGCTTTAACCTATTGGGAAATCATGGATTTTCCAACAAGACAACGACCTCAAGCACACTGCCAGCGAACTTCTGAAAGAAAAATGTCCAAAAGTTTTCGATTGGCCTTCTTACCTTAAACCCTATAGAAAACTTATGGGCAATAATGAAAAAAAGAGGGTAAATCGACGTCTTTTACAAAAAAAATCAATTAAATTAGATAATTTTTTACGAATTATCCGACTAGAATGGGATAGCATCGATAAATCTATTTTATCGAATTTATGTTCTGGAATGAAAATGCGTTTAGAAACTGTTATTGAAAAAGGGTTTTAATAATTGGACTAGATTTTTATTGTTATAAATTTACGTTATTACAATGTGCAGACAAATTTTATGTAAAATGAATGCAAATTGGTTGAGAAATAAAAAATTTAAAATTTTTATTATTTTCCGCCACTACTGTATTATTGGAATGCCAAGGTTGGATGATGTCCAATCAATATTCTGTCCTCCTGCGTTATCGTTAAATGCTTTTCGCCTTCATTCAATCGCTTAATCCTAACGAATACCATGCTCGGCGTACCATTAAGACCTTTGCTGACAATTTTGTCTTTATCGAGAACGTAATTAATTTGTTCACTTCATCTTGAATACCAAATAAATGCACTTTACGCGGACTGAGATAATAAATTTTGCTTACCTGTTGATCGGAATGTGGAACGTGAACATTTTGTAACTGTAATGAGCAGTTGCGTCAATGCTACAATAATCAACATTAGCTCTTGTTATAAAACGTTTGTTTACTGATTTCCTCTGTTGTTCTGTATTTTTGTTGTTATAATTCTCTCTAATTTAGCCTTAACTAAATGTTCCTTGTATTTTTTCAACAAATCTCTGGCTTCTTTCCTTACGAGCATTATACTGTAAGCCGTTCCGAAAATGTTGGCACGCGTTACATAAATCCGTTCTTGGACTCATAATTTGAATATAAAGTGTTAATTGGTGCCATAACGCATCATATTTTAACAATTTCAATGTGCTATCGTTTTCGAGACCCGCAATAAAATTACGATAGACTGATTTATAACTTGTTTCGGCTGACAAAAGTGTAAGCGATTGAGTAATGCGATTGACATTTCTACCGGGACTTGATGATCCATGAATTTCGGCGTAGTTTTTAAGAAAATTTTTCACCGCGGTAGCAACGGTGATATCAATGGTCATTTTGGTTTTCCAGTGCGGCACGTTTTTAACATTACCGTGAACGCGTGGTATTATATCATTTGTCACTAGGAGATTTCTGACATTTTCGAAGTGAGTGCGACCAAGTCCTAACATGTTTTATGGCAAAGAGGTGTGTTGCGATCTCAATAATAAAAGTTCTCTCATTAGTACGCGTTTTCGTTTTTAAGACGTCAGCTAGCAGTTATTTCTCCGCCATTCATTGCTTTCAGTTGGGTCATTAAAAATATATCTTGTTCGGATCTAGACAAAGCTCGAAACGCTTCACGTAATTCGACAAAATTTTTCTCTCGGAATTATTTTCAAGCAACCATAATTGCAACCTAAATCCAAGAAACGTATTGCTTTTTCATATTCTATGAAGTCATCATGTTCATATACAGGTAGTCCTAATAATAAGTCGAGGCATCAATGACTTTTTACTATGGCTCTGTTGATATTTAAGTTCAGAATAAATTGAGTTTGACTGTTATAACTCTGTTACGAAGTTTTTATTTTGGTATTCTAAGTTGAGTTCCAAGTTTAAGAGCTCTCCCGATGCACATGCTAATCATACAGAAATAGCGGAATGAACAAATTACGAACATGCACAACGATGCAACTCTACCTATTGTCCAGCTCAAATACGACGATTGCAATACGAGAAGCCCAATGAAGCAATATGACCCTATTCAGTATTATTAGTGCAATATATTGGCACAGGAACAAGTATTATGCAGGCCTTCCACCGTTCTTAATCATTTCGCTTTTGTTTCTTATATCCCTCCTCCCCTTCTGGCTCTAGCATCCTCTCCAGGAGCCAATAAATTCGTACAAGCACCATTTTCACATCGTTTTCAATGTCCTCGCGTTTGTACCTCACCAACAGGGGTTTAGAGAGTTTGAAAGCCGCTATGCTGTCATTCAGCACACATTCCAAAAAATACCATTTTTCAGCATTGGTTACGATGCCGAAGCACCGGTTGGGAGACGACTTCTCTTGCATCTCATCAGCCTTGCGTTTGCGTGTGTTCTGTCAAAGTGAATGATTTAGGGTGATGAACGTTAGAGCGATGCACTTTAGAGGGCCATACTCACCAAAGCTGACTCGAGCTGCACAACGTTCTGGGCGATGCCCTTCTTGAAATCGTCCCGTTTAACCACGGTTACTCCCACTGTCGTCCCATTGCATGCATCGAATGCATAATCTACAGGTCCCCTCCCGTTCTTCCCTGTAATCTGCCTCTCTGGACGAAGTATGAACTCTCCTTTGAAAAGATTTACTGCGGCAAGCA